TAGGACTCCTGTTTATCTGAGCTGAAGAAGAGTCTGGGAGACAAGCATTGTGAGAGACACTGTGCGAATGGAAATTGACAGATTGAGACGAGGAAGACTAGAGCAGAAGATAGCAGATACTGTAATGGTGGGCGTGCATGGTTCTTGAGGTGGCCATGGATGCAAGTTCCATGCTCTTAGCGTTCTTTCCATGCGATTATAAAGCGGAGTTCACTCTTGAAAAGCAGCCTATCATAATCAAGTTAAAGTGGTCGTGAAGCCGGATAAGAAAAACCATGAGAAACGGCCCAGAACCCGAGAAATGGACCCCTTCCTTGCCCGTTGATTTCCGCATTGATGCGACTCTCATCGGTGCTGCCCTCTTCAACGCTAACGCTCTCTCTGCTAAACGGCTAGAGACCTGCGGCGAGTGGTTAGCCAGTCGGTGGGCGTGCCGCGTCGATAGCGCCGCGGGAAGGGCCATGCTAGGTCGCCGGGGGCATATCCTTGCTGCGAACAGCGTGCAACCTTAGGGGTCTGCCTGTCTTCCCACTAGCAAGTTTCCCCTTTATCCACCTCTGTCCTGATCGTGGAATCCCTTCTTTGAGTCGTCCAAGTGACCCTGTTCCTGACGCTGTGGACCCACGAATCTTAGTCAGTGGAGCAATTGGTCTAGTAATCTGATTGCGGAATCTCCTTTGAAAAGTGTAACGGCTCAAGTAAAACGCGCGAATTTCATTTTTGTGGGAGCCCATCAACTCCAGCAGTATTCTCTGATAGGTAGAAACAACGGATTGCCAGTTTGCTTCGTTTCAGCATTGCGTACGAAGGTGACTTCAGCATTGAGGAGAACATGTACGCACTCAACGTTCCCGGTCGGATCGATCCTGTTACGAAGTAAGTCTTTTATTGCATACTACAATAAAACTTACCTGATGTTCAAAACCTTTTGGTCCAGGGTCGAGCATGGGAGTGGAGTTCTGGGCTATCCCTTTGTGACCCTTTCTGACGGTACGACACACTCATACCTTCCCCGGTCGCCATGGTCGCTACATCGTCTTCTCCTCCTCATTCGTCTGAAATTCACGCCTTATCTTTCCCTCCTCAGCCCACAGTATAGCCACAACTGTCCCCATGCACGATCCTGGTTTGTTCACCACCGATGAACGTTGATTTTGGGAATTACTTTGAAATGAAATAATGAAATAGTGAATAGCTTTCAGTCGAGCTATGCTGCCAACAAATCTACCGAAGGGTAGGTTGCAACAAAGTAAGAAATAAGTTTCTTAGATCTTTGGTGCATTACGTTAAGGCTCCTTTCCTACTGCTCTTTAACTAACAACGAAATTTTCGTTTATCCTCAGCGCCTTACAGGAACGCATCGCTTCAGTTCTTCATTACGAACCCATTGTAACTAATCACATCTATTAGTATTCAGTTCATAATCGACTAATTCCATCTCTGTAATAACTATATCTGATCGACAATAATTCAGGAGGATTCAAAGCATCGTGATTCCGGCTCCTGACTATCCTAGGTCCTTTCGCTCAGCTGGATCGCAACACAACAAAAGCCTATTATAAGTTATTTGCCCTTGTTTCTCTATAAGAACTCACATGTTGACGTGGAGTTGTTACCAGTACTTCACTTATTGTCAGTAGTACATACGTCTTTCGTTGAGAATCTCGCTGGTACTTGCAATTACTGTTATTTCGAATATTCGGAGGATCAGTTCCTCTGCGCTCGTTGTCTCTGTCCGAACGTCGGGAAAGATTTCCCAGCAGTTGTAGACGTCGAGGAACAGGTCCTATAGGGCATGGTATGTCCGTGTTAGAAAGCTCAATTCCTTTACTCTTAACAGCTTCAAGTGGCTTAACGGAGAAGTGTTTCATTAGCAATGGAAAACTCGTCCTTCTTCGAATGAGGAGTAAGTATAATATACTTGTGCCTTGATTGTTATTGTTTTATGTACCGATGTATGCAATAAAGATTTCACATGTGCGTGGATGACCAAGATAAGAAGCAGGTGAAGGGTACGGTAGGCCATGCACATCCTTAGGTCAAGCCCAGACCATATTTAATTCCGACGACAGCTCGTTGTGCGTGCTTCTCGGCAACTTTTTTTCGGAATTTTTAACCTACCTATGCTTTCGTTTGGTAAATATACTTCCTTTATTTACTAATGTAGACGGACAACTTTCTAACATAAAAATACCAAGTGACCCGAGCAAAACCATGCCCACTCGCACAAAAATCTGACGCGCATGCGCGTCATGTGTTATGTAATATTTCAAATCAACAACGCCAAATCAAGTTGGTGGCGTAATAGCGGTCAATAAGCGGTCGATAACGAAATTGTTTATGCCATTAACTGGAAATAAAAAGAAGCAACACAAACCGCCGATGACCCGTGAATAAGACGCAACTCTCTCTCACACAATGAGGGAGTGGCGTGTCCAGACCACTTGTCTGAAATTGCCTGTCACCCGCGTGCATTTGAAGTGGCCGCTACGTCATAATCCACACAGCGCGTGCGCGAGGTATCTCGTCCATTAGCTCTCACTAGCCATCACTGGTTCTTTTTTTGAGCCCTAGTGCCGTTGTTGAGCACTTCCGAGCCGGCATAACGGCACATCTGCAATGCCCACACACAGGCTCATTCGGGGTTATTCCTTTGATGACGATGATGCACCCTACATACTTCAGTTTTTCAATTCTCTTAGATTTTCGACATTTGGAAAACTAGGCGCTAAAGCATAGTATATTCAATTTTGTGAACACGGATATGAGAACTCCACTGGTTCACCCAGCTGATGGAATACTTCGCTCGACGGTCGTTGCCACGCGCTGCACGCCTGGGCACTGTTTCGCGTCATGACCATTTGTGCCAGCCGCGCGCGGCTACAGAAACGCGTGCGGCGTGGTTCCCCCTCTCCTCCCACCCTCCCCCCTCCATGCGCGGCCAGTCGTCTTGAGCAGTCGCCTCTGACGGTTGAGACGTACTTACTCTCCATTAGGAGGAAGTCTCAGGCACCGGGCGCCAGGAGGCCAAGACTCACATGATCTGCGCAGGACACCTCAAGGGTGTGTGTCAGCTCACTGTAGTCGCCTTTGCGAAGCACGGACACGTTCACGCTGTGCACCCGTGTCGGAATTTGCCCAATTGATATGTGATCAGCTGTACAGCCCTCAACCAGAGACCTAAGGGAGAATTAAGAGCGCACCGTAGGATTAACCGAGACCTTCGACCGACAATCAAACGACGAAACAAGGAAAACGCTTCGATAGACTAGCCGATACATGAACATTTCTTCAGCTTCACAGAAGAAGAGGGAATTTAGATAATGGTCTCCTTGCACACCAGAACAGAGCAGAATCACTGGCAATGCTGCGTGCGCGAAGCTTGATGTGTGGCTCCCTACGAAACTCCATTCCATGAAATTTTTAATAGTCCTGAAGTAATTCTCCTTGGGAATTTTTGCAAGTTCCGGTTGTCAAACAGTGAAGTTGCTGAAATGATGCAGCAGCTGTAAGCACGCTTGTAAAATCACAAGAGATGGTATGGCCGGACAATCGGAAATTTTGCGGCCTCGATGCGAAAAGATGGTTAATGGAAGTTCAAGAGGATGAGGAAAACAGGAGGGTAATGGAGAATCAGCGTAATTGATGCCATAACAGGATTCTGATCACTTTGTATTTATGCGACTGGAGGCGCTTAAAAGCCGAATTACGCGATAAAATTGCTGTGGACAGCGCATGGAAGTAATCGGAGTCAAGCACTTACAAGCGCCAGGTGCTAGAGGCACCCATCAGGGAAAGCGAGATCATGAGCCCTTTTTGAGATTCACAAGATGCGCTCGTTGCAGCTGCGCTGGGGCTGGCCAATGCTCTTTCGTGCCAGCCCGCGACGCCACGCCTGTGTCACGTCCGCGCTCAGCACGCATCGCTGATGTCCGCACTCTCACTCGTCTTCTTTGATAAGGTGTGTCACTTCTTCGAGCGCGTGTCCAATACTTTCTCATGGAATGCTATATCAATCAAGGTATGATCTCTGGTGGTATGATGGCAGCTATGGTTTAACGAGTGCCGACGACCTCTTAGTTGGTTGCCAACTCGTCCATTATCGGAGGTCAACGGGCAGAGGAAGTGGTCCCATTTTGCGCGTTTTTGACGGATTTCTTTGCTTTTTTCGCTACTAGGGCATTATTCAGCATCTTCACTTCCCCTATGAATGCGGAACAGAACCCTATCGCAATTCGCCGATTCTCTCGCGTTTAATCCCTATTCTCCTACTCAATACCAATTCAGTGTTCCCAGCTTTATCTGCTATTCTTCTTATCTCCTAAACGCTTGAAAACGTTAAGAGCTTCGCCTATCCTTCTATTTTATAAAGCGCTAACTTTGTGTGTCGGTTTGTGTATCTGTATGTGTGTGTATGTGTATGTGTGTCCGTCCGCAAAATGAAGTGAGTGAGAAGGAAGCTCATGGGATAAACAAACCGCTAACAAATCGGGTAGCTTACAGGATTTGAGATATCAATGTTTTGTAGCAGGATAGTTGTGATAACACTCTTAGGGCTATATAAACACCTGCTTAGCACACTTCCGTTCATTCCACATGGTGCTGCACTATGGCAGTGGAGGGCAGCTGGAGGGCAGTGGAGAGAGGAAGGGGGGATG